TCGTTAAGATGGGTACGCACTCACAGTGAGTCCTGCTGATGAGCTGAGCTGTGGGCTCTTTGTGACACTCTTTAAAGACACTGCCACGAACAACAGCAAGTGTTATTGCATCATTTCATGTGTCTGCAGTGTTTCCTTACAAAGAGCCTGTGTGTGTGCGTGTGTGTGTGTGTGTGCGTGTGTGTGTGTGCGTGTGTGTGTAACGAGCAGAGTCAGATAAAAACCTGGACTATCTGATGCTCTGACGCCTCCACATTTCACCTGTTTCAAGCTGAACCTGTTAAACCTGTGGAGGGTCTCACCTGCTCAGACCAACGTCATGTGCAGCCCTCCGTGCTTCTGCCCTGACGGGGGGGGGGCACTTACAGAAATGAAGCCGGCGTTTGGATGATCCTCGTCAGACGGTGTACGTGCGCTTGCTCACATTGCTCTGATTAAATTGAAAGCGAGCAGCGGCTCCAGCGATCAGCCAAACAGCCCCAAAGAGCAGCTGCTGCGGATTGGGGGGGGCTCACTGCCTCAAAGGCGACGCTGACAGGACGCGCTGAAACGTGCGCGAGCCTCCGTAGCCACACTGTAGACAGTTTGATAAACGCATCACATGGATGGGCTCAATTTACTCCGAGGCCGCCGCCTTTCACCCGCCGTCATAACAGGACAACCAAACCTGCAGTTCCTCTGACGTCCAGCAGAGGCAGCAGCGAGTTGGTGTCATAACAAACACATCTACAGTCAGATACAGGAACTGTTTGCATTATTGGGGGCGTGGCCTCTTTGACTGACAGGTGGCTGTAGCTGTTAGCTTCACCTGCACCTCTGGACTGTTCGTATTGTTGGAGCCTTTTAAATAACATCATGTGACCAATAACACGGCTGCTGTGAGGTTACTATAGTAACAGAGCATGGAGGGTGGAGTCAGCTGGTAACCCCGCCTCCACAGACGGTCTGTCAGTGCAGTAACCTCACAGCAGCTCATTTCTGACAGTGAGGGCTGAAAATTTGCAGCTGTCAGATGGCGTCTTTCATCAGAGGCTGCACGCCGCTGCACTCTGTGCGTTCAAACAAAGACTCCAGCTGAGCCTCTGCTCAGGTACACGCTTTCTGCTTTTTGGCCTCTTTTGTCCTTTGACCTTTTCTAAAAGCTAAAACATGACTGAAAGTTCTCAGATAATTTCTGAAACGCTCGGCAGCAGCTGCAGGTCAAAGCTTGGAGGCGACTCCACCCGACGGCAGGAGGAGGATGTTTGCACTGCTCCTCCTCCTCCCTGTTTGTTTCCCACTGAACCCTGCGTGACCCTGCTGGTTCCTGCTTCCTTATCTGCTGCACAGTCACGAGGCCGAGCGGGATACAAATATGCCAGATTATGCCACAGATTACGCTGCTATTTTGAGACAGAGCCCCAGATTAGCGCCGGCCGAGGAGAAGCTGCGGGGTGCAAGAAAGAGTCAAACCTTACGAGCCGGCGTCATCAGCGCTGCCAGCGGTTTATGCTGGCGTGTTTTGGCGTGAACAGTCTCAAACTTCCAAGTCTTCATTTTCCATTTGAGCGGAAACTTGAACCGTGCGGGCGCCGGCGGGTCACGT